CCTCTCCTGGTCTTCTCCATCTTACTAATAGCAGCACCAGGAGTTGCTCAGGCCAAGAATCTAGGCGTTGTCCTTGATGATTCTTTTTTCCTGAACCCCTCCCCCACATCTAATCCATCAGCAAACCCTGCTAGCTTTACCTTCAAAATATGTCCCACACCCACCACTTTCCCCATCTCCACAGCTACCACCCCAGCTCAAGCCACCATAGCTCTTGCCCGGGTCATCACAGGAGCTTCTTAACAGGTTTTCCTCCTGCTCTCAATTTTTTTCCCACACAGTAGCCAGAAAGATCTTAAAAACATAAATCCTGTCCTGTCATTCCTCTGTGTAAAACTTTCCAGTGGCTCTCCAGTTCACTTAGAAAAAAATCCAGATTCCTTTATCTGCTGGTCCTCTGCTTGGGCCTTGCCTCCCCGTCCAACCTCACTGCAGGCCAGTCTTCCTCACTGTCCCCTGAATATGCCAGCTCAGCTCCTTCACACTCAGGGCCTCACGTTGCTGTTCCCTCCTCCTGGAACACTCTGCCACCAGACCCAGTTCTGCTGGCTCCTTCTCATGAACCAGGTCTCCTCAGGGAGGCCTTTCCCTACTCAGTCACCCTCTCTCATGTCACCTCTTGCCTTGTTCCGTTATCCTTGTGACACTTATTTGAAGTCATTTTGTTCATGTGTTTGTTTCCTTGTTCATTGTCTGCCTCTCTACCTACCCCAGATACGTACTCCATGAAGGGAGGAACCCTCTTGGTCTTGTTCTTCACTATATCCCAGCCCCTGGATTCATGTACATAGTAGGTGCTCACACAGTATTTGTTTCATGAATACTGGATGAACAAAGGTGATGAGGGACCTAGAAAAAAAATCGGAACCACTGTGGGGTTCGTCCTCATTTTAGAAAGGAAAACTGAGGAAGAGAAAAGGAAGTGACTTGCCCAAGGACAAGAGGACTAGAAACCAGACTCTCTTACACAAGTCTTACAAAAGATTCCCTAGGGGAATCCTTTCTTCAGGAAGCTCCGTAGATGTATTTTATGTGCAAATAAATTTATAAAATTTGTGGTTTTATGTAATTTTTCCTCAGAAATATGTCTCCCTAAATCAAGACACGGTTGCATGGTAAGACCCTTCAGGAAGGGAGAGGCCCAGTAGAAAGAAGGCTGGGCAACAGGAAAGGAGGGGAGAACAGAGAGTGGAGAGTTTAGCACCTGACATTGGCAATGGGAGTCTGCTGCGTTAACTCTGGGAGAGAAGAAGGGACCATTTCTTGAATCTTCCAGTGTGGGCCCCAGTCAGAGGGTGGCTCCACAGAAGGACCACCCCACTGATCTTCACAGCCTGCCACTGTGCTGCTCCAACCTTCTCTTACCTCTGCATGAAGTGCAGCTTCCCCACCCCTAACAAGCTCTGTATCTGACCCCCTTCTGGCCTCCTAGATTTACTTAGTCCACCCCTCTACCTGGGTTTCTCCCCAGCCCCCGTCACCCCTGCTGAAATCCCATTCATCCACTGACATCCAGCCCAGGTTCAGTCTCTTCCAGGAGCCTTTCCTCATCATCTTGGCCCTCAGTAACTGTTCTCTCACTCTGGAGAGCAATTGCTGCACACCGGTTGGGTTAGTTATTGGTGTACGTGCCTCTCTTTCTCACTAGATTGTAGGTATCTCAGGGCAGGGAGCCTGTCTTGTTCTGTGAATGCCCATGGTTGCTGACCTGGTCTGGCCCACTGTGGTTGCTCAGAGAGTTTTTGCTCTTTGGTTGGCTTGGGAGGTTGGGTGGATGGAAAGGAAGATGGGCTGGTAAGCAGGTGGATCAGTAGGAATGGATGAGTGGAAATGGGTGGGAACATGGAAAGGTGGCTGGGTGATGGGTGTTTTGATTGATAGGTGGCTAGATAGATAGATGATGAGTAAAGGAATAGATGGAAGGGTTGGTAGGTGGTTGGTCACAGTACTGAAGGGTGACTGGGGACAGGAATCAGAAGTAGGGTATGTAGGGTCCCCTTGATCCAGGACAGGTGAAGGCTGGTTCTCAAAGGTAGAAGAAGTTCAAAGAGTGAAGGGAAGATGAATTGGAGTCTTTTGTGTGTGTAATTGGTCCTATTTGTGAGTCTCCCCCTCCCAAAAGCTGAGAAATTCTGTGGGGAATTGAGTAACTCTAAGAAATTTCTCTGTGATTATCCATTGAGAGATATTATCTAAGAATCCTGGGGCCAAAATGAGAAAAAGACTTGTCAAGTTCATCTACATGCTTCGGGCAGAACCACGCCTACCCACCCACATTCTTAGTCACCTACAAAGGGGAGGCCTTGCATTCCCACTCAACAATGTGTTCTGGATCCAGAGGAAAGTCCAAGCCAGTGGTTCTCGGGGCCATTTTACCCCCAGGGGACACTGAGCAATGTCCGGCAACATTTTTGCTTGTCATGATTGGGCAGTGCTACC